GCCTCCCAGAGTGCTAGGATTACAGATGTGAGCCACCATGCCAGGCTGTTTATTGACTTTTAAATTGGATTATTTGTCTTTTTATTACTGAGTTGGTAAATTCTGTATATGTTCTGGGTGCTAGCCCCTTACCAGATATATGATTTGTAAATATATTTTCCCATTCGGGGGCTTGTCTTTTTACACAAAAGTTGTTCATTTTGATAAAGTGTAGTTTGTGACTCTTTATTGATAATGATTTTGGTGTCATAGAAGAAACTTGTCTTATGGAAGCTCAGGAAGACTTGCACCTAGTTTCCTTTGAAGAGTTTTTTAGTTTAGTTTTTTGTTTTTTGTTTTTTGGTTTTTTTTGTAGTTTTTGGCAGGGGGCTGGGTTTGAACCCACCACCTCCAGCATATGGGGCCGGCATCCTACTCCTCTGAGCCACAGGCACCTCCCAAGTTTTTTAGTTTTAATTTTTACGTTTAGGACTATGATTCTTTTGTTGTTGTTTTGATGCAGAGTCTCACTCTGCCACCTTGGATAGAGTGCTGTGGTGTCACAGCTCATAGCAACCTCAGACTCTTGGGCTTAAGCCATTCTCTTGCCTCAGCCTCCCAAGTAGCTGGGACTACAAGCGCCACCAGAATGCCTGGCTATTTTTTTGGTTGCAGTTGTTGTTTTAGCAGGGCTGGGCTGGATTCAGACTGGCCAATCTCAGTGTTATGTGGCTGGCGCCCTACCAACTGAGCTATGGGCGCCAGCAGGTATTTGGGCTATTTGATGATGGAATGTTAAGACTTTGCCATACGTTAAGAGAATTTCTTCATGTCTTATTCCTTTCACCCACCCTATTAATTGGAAACCAAAACTCTGTGAGTCTCCACTGATAAAAACTTTGCTCATAAGCAAGATTTTGCTTCACCTCAGAATGGATGAAGTCCCTGCCTCCATTTTAAGCTCTTAATTTTGTTCTAATTCTGTGCTGAGAGTATCATATACAGCATCTCATTTAATTTTCTTAATCCTGTGAAGCATCGATTATCCCTGGTACACAAAGTGAGAAACTAATGTCTAGAACAGTGTTTTTCAACCTTTTTTTTTATCTCACGGCACACCTGAACCTATAGTTAAACTTCATAGCACAGTTAAATTATGTTGATCAAAAAAAAAAAAAAGAATATGTTTATTGTGCTTTGAACTTCGAACTTCTTTTAAAAATAATTAATTAATGATTTTAAAAAGGCACACCTAAGATCCTCTCATGGGACACCAGTTGAAAATCACTCGTCTACATTGGTGCCTATGGCTCAAGTACTAGGGTGCCAGCCGCATATACCGGGGGTGACGGGTTCAAGCCCAGCCCCAGTCAAAACTGAAAAAAAAAGAAAATCACTGGTCTAGAGATTAGGATGACACAGCACAGTCCTAGAACTTGAATTTAAACCCAAGTCTTTCTGTTCCTACTTAGCCACCTCCTGTTCTCTCTCCTCTATATCTAGAGTGGCCACAAAATCAGCTTACGGTGAAAGTAGTTCCTGGCTTTGGAGTATAGGATTGGTACTCCCGGCTTGGTTTCCAGATTCTGAAGTTAAAAGACTTGGATACTTATGAACCCTCCCCTCCTCTGTCTCCAACCCACAGATACTTCCTGTTCTCCAGATTAATAGTCGTCGCATGTTTAAAGTTAGCAAGCATCTGATGAATATTTAATAGCATCGAGCAGACAGGCTGGAAACAGCTGTCTAAGAGAGCAACTGCTGGGGGAGGTGACGAAGTGCACGTCTATATTGCCTACCTACCTGTTCTTCTGTTTCCTGGCCTGAAAAATAGGCCTGGCCCTTCCAGGCCTCTGAGGAGCAAAGGGCTATGGTGGGCATTGTACTTCAGTCCTGTAGGGGCCTCATGCTGCTCTGTGCTCCCAAGGAGGCTGCACTCAAGCAGCAAATTCAAGTCTTTGGGGAGGGGAAATTGGAAGCAAAATGTTCACTGGCCTCTACAATCAATTTTCCAACCCCTGGCTTGCAGGTCTTCTCATTTAGTGGCCTATCAACTGCAGCTTTTGTTGTTGTTGTTGTTGTTGCAGTTTGGCCAGGGCCGGGTTTGATCTCACCACCCTGGGCATATTGGGCCGGCGCCCTACTCGCTGAGCCATAAGCGCCGCCCATCTGTAGCTTTCTTTTCCAAAAGAAGACTCTTATCAGGAAGGATCTTGAATTTCATAGTACTGCCACTGAAGTTTAGCTTCTTAGCATAACTCGACAGCTGATGTGACCGGCAGTCTCTCAGCAGTGAATATACTTCTCATTCCTGGCCTATGCTGTGGTGATTGTCTCTGGCTGCATTTCAGGCAGGGAATGGGTGGGTACAGGTTCTCAGACAGGAATACAAGCCAGCCCTTTGTTTCCCCACCTAGGCCTAGGGTAGGAAATATCTTGCTTCAAGGAGGTCTTGTTATGTCCAAGGTGAATCTGGGGAGGTCATGGGACTCCTGAAAAAAGACAGCTCATTTGAGATATTTTTAGGCAGAGTGTGAGGCACAGCCAGTCTCTCAGCCCAGATTAATTAGCTAAATAGGGCACCTTGCTAGAAATTAGATTAAATGCCTCCATTGGTTCCCTTCTCAATCTCTGGAAACCATGTTGGCCCATTCAGTGTAGCCAATCTCAACTATTGCAGGCACCATGGTGTATGTGAGAATTTGAGATAGAAGAATTTCATTTCAGATACAGGGCTGATCTTTCCCTGGGGTCTTCTGACTCTAGCAGCCTTCATGGCTCCTATACATCACCTGGCTTTAGGTACAAGGTGGGTACTACCCATCTCTCAGGCTCTCTGGGGTTGGAATGTAGCAAAGAAACTCTGCATTTACCTGTGAGAAAGAGAAATACATTGTGTTCTGATAGGATTCTTTATAAGCTTTTCTCCAGAAATCAATACAAATGTCTCCTTCCATTCTTTTTTAAAGTATATATATACATACACACATAGAGTATTATAAATTGTGCCTACTATGTGCTTGTCACCAGAGATTCAGTGGTGTATGAACAAGATAAAATGGTCCCTGACTCCACAGTGCTTACAATGTATATAAGGGAAACAGGCCCTAAACATTCAACCTCAGCTGGGCGAGGTAGAGCTCATACCTATAATACTAGCACTCTGGGAGGCCAAGGCAGGTAGATTGCCTGAGCTCACAGGTTCGAGACCAGCCTGAGCCAGAGTGACACCTCTTCTCTAAAAATAGCTGGGTGTTGTGGCGGGCACCTGTAATTCCAGTTACTTGGGAGGCTGAGGCAAGAGAATCACTTAAGCCCACGAGTTTGAAGTTGCTATGAGCTGTGACGCCATGGTACTCTACCAAAGGTAACAAAGTGAGACTCTGT